TTTCTCTGGAATTTTGAAATGATAATAACTGTACACTTAAAAGCATAAATAAAAACTTTTGGCAGGTTTTCTTTGGAATCCGGTAAAAGGTAGCATACTTCAGTTATATGGAATGATAGAAGGCAGGAATTTGTTTCAAGATAATCCATCCATGTTTCTCTGTAGTTTACATAATTCCTTAAGAACTACACCCCACTTATCGTCCAAACAATCAAAAAGACTGCAACACAGACACAAACATTAAAATAATATTAAAAAAGACTCAAGGCATGAAGTGCATTAGTGACAATATAATTAGGTAAAAGAAAGCCACATACTGTCCTTGATGACAACATATTTTTTGATCTTGATCTGTCACAGAAAAGAAGGAAAGAAGGAAGGAAGGGAAGGAAGGGAGGGAAGGAGGGAGAGAGGGAGAGAGGGAGGGGGCAGGCAGTCTCTTTTCTTTTCAATGAACATTATTATTCAACATAGAGATTTTGTATAAATGTCACATAACTGTGCACTTTAAAAAAGAAAAGAATATCCAAGTGTGGTAAGTACACATTTGTATTCCCAGCACTGGAGATGCTAAGGTAAGAAGATCTTGATTATAAAGTCAGCATGGGCTACATAGTGAGTTCTAGGCTAGCCAGCATAAAACCTTCCAAATCTAGCTAGCTATGATGACTCAATGTAATCTTGGATACTTGAAAGCCTGAGTTTGGGAAATTGTGGTTGCAGAAAAGCCCAGGCAAAAAGTTTGACAAGATCCCATCTCATCAACCAATAAAAATCGGGGCTCAATAGTGGATGATGGTCATTCCAAGTACATAGGAATACTATGGTTTAGGTGCATCTGAACAAAAACGTAAGACCCTATTTGAAAATAAAAGGGCTGGACATGGATCAAGTGGTAATGTACCTGCCTAGCTAATGCAAAGCCCTGAAGTCAAAGCCAGTACTGCAAAAAATAATAAATAATAAGTGAAGATATGAAGATTTTCTTTCAAAGCTCAACAATTCATTGACTCTTCTACTTACAGAAGCTCTATTTCCAAATGAGAATTTTATAATACCAGAACAAATACTCTAACAGTTGTATGTGACAAAACTATATTTAAGAAATTCTCCCTAACATAAAAAATACACACCATTAAACTGGTGCAGTGAAACAGCTGGGAAAAGGCAGAAATCAAAGAAAGCTCCACAATTTGTGAAATTTCCCTCTAAAATACAATTTGGTAATTCTCAGATCCAAGAAAAACCAATTATGGAATCAACACCATTGGCAGAAGGGGCCTTTTGGGTTGGCTTTGGAGAAGTGAGGAAAGTAAAGGAAGAGTTAGAAAGATTTACCTATCAGTTCCATTCTCTGTGTCCTCAGTGTTGAGGGCTACCTCTCTACTTCACTATTTTATTCCAATGGCTCCATTCACTGTCTATAACCTCACTGCAAAGAAAAATGTTTAATTTAAATCAGTAACTTTGCCTTTGATTCTAAGATACCATCTTGGCCCACCACAGTAATATCAGAATTGCTCATGTTCTACATACCTAATCTCTACATTAAGCCCCCTCACTGATAAAATCAAAAATTAGGTTGCAAAAAAAGATAGTAAGCACTAATTTTCTCTTCAAAAAGAAATGTTTCATGCTTACATAGCTCACATTTTTAAAAGCATATTTTATAAAGACAAAGATCGTCAAACTAGACTTGTAAAATACTACAAACACCACTTGGTCTCCAATAGATTTTCGAGTTTCTAACTCATCATTTTATTATATTGAAACAGCTCTGTTATAACCTGAACAAAGTTGCTGCAGAATTAAAATCATGTAACTGAAAAGTCAAATTCTCAAAGTACTAGTGTATATAACAATGAAACATTTTTAATGTTATCTGTTGCTTATAACCAACTTTAATTGTGTTTAAACATTCAGTGAAATGGGCACCTCAGACTAAATCAGTGTAAAAACCAATAGTATACAGATAATGAAGGCATCATAGAAAGTGGTTAAAAATTATAATGAAGAAAGAACTGGTAAGAATATAGCAACCTGGCTGAAACTGATATTCATTAGAGTACTCTTCATTTCAATAGGGAGCATTTGGACTCTGTGGTCTTTATCAGTGTCCCAGCTGGTAACGGTTGAAGGTTAATGCCTTACCCCCATTCTGTTCAATTTTCTATCCTAATTAGCCCTCCAAATCTATAGCTGTGAGTACGAAGTGTCTGTGCTCAAAAGAAACTAATTAATGCTACCAAATTAGATCAAGTCCAAAGATCCAACAGCCAAACTCTTAGTTAAATGCTCCTTGTTAATAGGAAGTGTAGCTGTCAATAACTGCTGTTTGGTGACTATAATGAGGCATCTTTCTTTCACTGAAAGTGATTTCATTTCTCTTTGTCCCTGGAAAAGCTGTTCCCTGCCCTTCACAAACCTAAGTTGCTGGCAGTCTGACCTAATTCTTATGATCAGCTAGGTTGAAATGACATGAAAAAAATTAAACAGAAAAGCTACATAATCATGTTTGAAGCATTTAGCACTAAGTCAGATCACTTATTAAAATTCCTATATCTTTATCCAAGAACTATATGTAATTTGTACAATTACCATACATAATGTTTATATGTAAAATCCTATAATAATTTAATGAAGTAAAGGCTATACTCAGTTTTCCAAAAAAAGCATCCTGGTTCTAAATTATGCCTTGTTATTCCGCTTAAATGCAGCTTTCTTCTGCTGTCTGAACAATACTAATGTATATTCTTTCCTAATTAACATGATTAAACAAGGTAAATATTAAGGTTTTATTATTATTTTACAAAACCATCAGTTTTACATTCTAAAACACTATTCTGAACCATCTGGTCCATGAAATCAAGACATGATAATCTATAATTCAAAAATATAAAATGATTTTAATAGCATGGATTCTAATAAACAATTATAATTAAACTAATCTAAGTGAATCTCATTTGAAGATGCTTTTTGTCTTCAGATTATTCTAGATATATTTTTGAAAAGTAATCACATCAATATGCTAAACAACTTTTTTATAAAAAATATGAAAATTAAACATTTTCCTTTGTACCATCACAAGAGAAGAGTGGCACAATATAAACAAGTATTTTTAAGTTAGATTTTACTCTTTCATTATGAAAGCAAATTTGCACTGTTTAAAAGTAAGCAAAGGCAGCTCTGAAACGCAAAGCCATACAATTATTATTTTATTTTCAACTGAATCCTATCAGGAAAACATATATTTCTAATGAAATATGCTTTTTTTCACTCTATGTATTAGAATAATGATATCTTAATCATCTTGTTTTTCTCTAGGTATTAGATAGTTTATTAACAGAATAAATGCAACATGCAGCTTTAGAGTAAGAGATCGGTAACAAGTATGTTTTTCAAGTAATGAAAAGTTACCTCAAAAACTTTATGTCCATTTTTAAGTTTATCCTACTTCATGTGGATCAGGATTTTTTTTTAAGTTCTATGAGTTATGCAGAAGATTGCCTCTTGAGACTATTAGTATGACACCTGCAATGCCAGATGTGGCACTGCATCCTGTCTGTAGGTGCCAATGGGTTAATTTCTCCTGACACCAGGGGTGAGGATTGAAGGAAAGGGCTCTGATTAAACAACTAATTCATGGTTAAAAAAAAAGGACCATACAAAGATTTCTTGTCTAAAATGACTAATTTATAAGTGGATTTCAAAACTAAAGAGATTATAATAAGCTATTTAATAAGGAAGAGAAATTATCATCACACAATGATGAGTCAACAGAAAGTACTAAGGGCAGGAGGCATGCAAGGGAATAGGAATGCTCCTCATATGTAAACAATATTGACATAGTCTCAAAACTAGAGTTGACAGAGTCTGGTTTCCTGTGAAGAAGCCTGAAAAGGTGCTGCAGTCCATTGTCCTCACCAAGATCACTGGGGTGATCTCAACAAATATGAGGAGAGTAAAGAAGGGAACTAGAAAAGTAGCCACACCAGCACAATTTTACTATAGCTTTTGGATGGCCATTCTAAGAAGTAGATTATTTTTTTTTTTTGGGTCCGGTTATGGGGCTTGAACTCGGAGCCTGGGTGCTATCCCTCAGCTCTTCAGCTCAAGGCTAGCGCTCTACCACTTGAGCCACAGCACCACTTCCGGCTTTTTTCTTTTTGCTTATGTGGTGCTGAGGAATAGAACCCAGGGCCTCAGGCATGCACAGCAAGCGCTCTACCACTGGGCCACCTTCCCAGCCCCGAAGTAGATTATTTTTTAAAGACATTTCTACAGTAATTTTGCCATCTCCTTATCATTTTCAAATGTATTATGGTCTTGTTTTTCTTTAATCTATTACTAATTTGTTTAGATTTTTTATTAGAATCCTACATGTTAATCAACCATAGTCTCTAGACTTTAAGTATTAGGAATATTAGTGTTAAAAACATTTTCAGAGAAACCATGCATGCATGGTCATTTCATGTACACATTTATACAAATATCTTACAGTTATAAACATAAAGCCAAACACACATAAAAGAACTCCAGATTCATAAGATTCAAAGTAAGTCAAAACAGACTAAAGTAATACTAAAGGAAATCATTTTAGAATGTACATATATCCATATACATAAGCAGGATGATAGATGAATAACAGGTAGAAGACATGAGAGTTGATGTTTGTTCTTTCCCTACCAAAAATACCAAAAAAACTAGTTTCTCTAGAATACCCCTATCAAGATTTTTCTCTCTCTATATATATAACTATACTTGTGTGAATAAAGGATTGGGGTTTTTTTTTTTTTTTTTGCTAGTAACTTGGAAACTTTTTTTTCAATTGTAAATGAACTAAACACTGCCTGGTGTTCTGTAAGCTGAAATACCAATATCTCAGTGAAGGATGAAAAGCAATTCATACATATTAATGCACCGACTACTTGACTCTGGGGCTAAGGATTAAATTCAGATTGTATTTGAATTTGATCTTTACATGAATATTTTAATCTTACCTTGAACTTGTTCAGAACATCTCTCTCTGGCCTTTTCTCTCATTATTTTAGGGATCAGAACATCTTTTTCAACATGTCTGAGATGCTGCTCTAGAAAAAAAAAAATTCTTTGTTATAGTAAAGTCTCAAGTAAATCATCAGGTTAGGAGAAAAATAAGCACTCTGTTTATTTTAAATAATAGACTATATAACTATGATTTTAAATGGTTCTTTTAACCCTTGATAAAATTGTGATTATCTTAGTCACTAGAAATTATTCAAAAGAATTTTTTGATATATGACAAAATGGAAGGGTTAGATCATAGATATCTCTCTAAAAATTTCTACCTTTTTGTAACATTTCCTTGGATAATGTATTCAGGTAGATTGGTTTCATGGAATTCATGCAAGATTTTCATCCATACTGAGATCCAAGGGTAGATGAAGGTCCTATCCACCCTTGAATATGAGGCTGCACATGAGTAGTTCATCCCAATAAAAGAAGCCTAAGAAACAAAGATTTGGCAAAAGAAAAAGCAGCACTACAAGTCCATCTACACAACAAATTCCTGTGCATTTAAAACATACTTTCTATCATGAGAGAAAAAGAGCAAAGTAAGTAACCTGTTATTGGCTTCCACTTTTTTGTTAAATTCTGAGTGCCCTGGAAAACCAAGAAAAAGTAAGTGCCCTCAGTAAAAAATAAAATGACAAAGTCAGATTAAAGGAAATTTCCATAGAGTATCCATAATAAAAATAATACCAAACTGAGTGGTGCTCTGTGTTCAGAAGCAGTAAACATGAATAAGAAACTTCCTGGAGAAAACTCACTTATTGTTGGTTAAAGGACCTCAGCAGGAGCCAAATAGTCACTTGGAATATATCCCACCTAGAGATATCTAGGAAAACTAGGAACCCCTAAAATCTTTCTGGCAATATGCTCTTTCCCACAGCCTCTGAATACAGACAGCAATGGACTAATACATGTCATATGTGTATATCATACATGTAACATATATATGATATGTATTATATATATTGGGGCATCTCAAAAAACAAAACTAACAGCAACATATCCAAGAATTACCTTTGTATGGCAAAGGTGAAACAGACTAACCATTCTGAACTAAATAAGCAACTCCTAAGAAAGTTAAAGAATAGGGAAATAAGATTTTAATGCAAGTGTAATAAATTTACTGAGGCAGATCAAAAAATCTGTAGACTGAAATGGACGATGGATTATCTGAAAGCACTTTGATAAAATGTTTGAAACACCAAAACTCTAAAAGCTTCTAAACAGGGGGGAAAATGCACAAAGGAATGAGAACCAAATGAACATCTCATCCCACTAGCACAAGACAACAGAAATAACTTGAAAGTTCTGAATAATAATTATGTTCTATCTAATAAAACTTATTTAAAGACACTTGTTCAAATATAAAAACTAAAATGTTTACCTCCTTTAAGCCGGAAAGAAAAACAAGTAACTTCTACTACCACTGCTGTGCAATAACCATCAATGGAACTCAATGATGTAGAACAATAAACATTTTACTATGCATAGGCACCCAACAGGTCAAAAGGGCCTCATCTGGGAAGACTCAATGACTGGTGTCGATTTCAACAGCTGCAAAAGCTGCATCTGGAGGATTTACTTCCAAAATTACTTCTTTCTTCATGTATGTGCCTGACATCTGGGCTGAAATGGTCAAAGGAAGGAGCTCAGTTATGACTGTAAAACAGACCACCAACACATGGCCTCTCCATTTGGTTATGTTCTCGCATTATAGTACCTGGGTCTAAAAAAAGAACAAGCTACAAATGAAGGTCTGGAGAGTAAGCACTAAGGACAACCAAGTGAAAGCTAAATGTCCTTCTTGACCTTGTTATGGAAGCAAGCATCATTCCCACTACATTAAATGATTTCAGGGTAGAAAGAATAGCCCAAGTTCAAATGAGAAAAGTAGGATAGGCCCCATTCTTTGTGTCCAGATCACTTCACAAAATCATGAGGGGTACGGGAGATAATGCCACAATCTCCTTTACAAAAAAATAAAGCTACCACAAAAACAGAGAACAACTCTGATAAAAGGATTATGATGCACAAATATGAAATATGAAAAGCCTATTAGATAAATATACCTTTAATTTTACATTTTAAAATATTAAGGTATTTGAAAGATTAACTTGACCTAGTAAATATTTCCAGAATACTCCATTCAAATAACAGTGGAATATTTACTGATATAAACCATACTATGAAAAAAATCTCCCTAAAAGTGAAGAAATTCAAGCTACACAAGCTGACATCAAATATCTTTGGATAATCTACAAATATTGCTAAGCTAAATAACATACTTTGAAATAACCTATGGATCTAAGATGTTATCAAAAAGGGAATATGAAACATTTGGGAATGAAAACATATAAAAGTTGTGTGATAACTAGCCAGTTGGCGTTGTGCAGGTCTGCAATTCTAATACTTAGGAAGAGAAGGTAATTGGTAAGAGTTTTTACTTCTCAAAAGAAGTAAAAATGTCCAAAAGATACATGAAGAAATGGTCAATATCTCTGGACTTAAAGGAAATGCAAATCCAAAAGTCAGGCCAGCCTGAGCTGGAAAATGAGACTCAGCCTCAAAACACACACACACACACACACACACACACACACACACACACACACACACACACACACACACACACACACACACACACACACACACCCATCAACAATAAAATTGTATAATGCAGTCAAAACAACTTATACAGAAATTTGTAGCACTGAAAACCTAATCAACTTATGCTTCTACACTGAAATACAGCCAGCATCCCACCCCCCCACACACACACCAAAAAAAAAAAGAAATTTCACACAAAGCAAGTAAAAGAAAGTAAATAGTATAAGTCAAAGTAGAAATGAACAAAACAAAAAGCAGTCAAGCAAAAACAATAGACATAAAATCAATGGAACAAAAACTGGTTCTTTGAGATCACTAAAATTGATAAATCAGTAACCAAACTGATGGGGGGGGGGGGGAGATCATAATTATAAACATCAAAAATGACCAATAGATTTAAATGATAAGGATTACCAAAAAGAGCCTAATAAATGCAATAACTAAAATGAAATGGACAAACTCCTTTAAAAAAAAACAAAAAAACAAAACTCACTCAAGATATCCAGATACTCTAATCCTAAATGAGCTAATAAACTAAAGAGAAACTTCTCAGAAGACGTAAAAATGTCCAAAAGAAACATGAAGAAATGTTCAATATATCTGGCCTTAAAGGAAATGCAAATCAAAACAACACTGAGATTCCACCTCACTCCTGTTAGAAGAACCAAAAATGAAGAACACAATAGGGTGACACTGTCCAAAAAGAAATGTACTCTTTACCTGACTTACGTAACTGTAATCCTTCTGTATACCACCTTTATAATAACAATTTTAAAGCTTTTAAAACAAGAATAGAAACAGTAGCAGATGCTGGCATGGATGTGGGCAAAAGGGAACCCTAATACACTGTTGGTCGCAATGCAAACTTATTCAAACATTCTAGAAAGCAGTATGGAGGTTCTTCAAAAAACTATAATCCATCAATTCCATTCCTGAATATTTGTCCAAAAGATTACAAATTAGGATACAGTAAGGTTGCCAGTACAACTATGTTCACAGCACTATTCACCATAACCAAGGTACAGAACCAGCCCAGATGCCCCCCAATGGACAAATGGATCCAGAAAATAGGGTATACATAACAATGGAACTTTATTAATCCATTAGAGAGAATGATATTGCAACATTTGCAAACATGGGAGGACCAAGAAAAAATATATATTAAGTGAAGTTAGGCCCAGAGAGACCACGGTTACATGTTTTTCTCATATGTGAAAGCTAGAATTAGTTTATAAATATAAAAGTAAATACTTTAAGTGTGCGCAAATGTATTAAAAGAAATATGGTGGATTTAGGGGAGAACTTAAACAGTGTAATTCCTTAGAAAGGCAAAAATCAGAGCTGGGAAGGTGGCTCAGTGGTAGTGCTTGCCTTGCATGCATGAGGCCCTGGGTTCGATTTCGCAGCTCCCAGGCCCAGAGTTCACGCCCCATGACCAACAAAAAAAAAGAAAAAGAAAGGCAAAATTGTTCAACAAAATAAACATTAGAATCCAAGTATTTGAAAGAGGTGGGATGATGTCAAGGGGAAAGGGGGTAAACAAATGGAAAGAAAAACGGGGAGGGGGAGAATGTAGTCAAAAATTCAATGTATATCCTACAAAATTAAGAAAAGTGAGGAAAGGAGTGGGTTAGGCGAGATGGGTAAGAATGTTGAAAGGGGTGATATCAATCAAGACGCACTGTACTCATAAACTGCTTTGCTGAATGGCAACTCCCATGTACAACTACTTAAAGATAATTTGCATTATAGTCCAAAGAAGTTTCATGGTCAGATAGTCTCCTTGGTATTTAAGGATATTTAAAATATTTCTTAAATATCTCTATTTAAGAAAAAAGGGCAAATTAAGAAAAAAAATGTTTAAATCCACATAACTTCTTCCACAAAATTGCTCTAAGGTCAATACTGCCCTTATACCAAAACCAGACTACAAATTAACAAAGATACCAGCACTCTCATAATGTTCCTTATAGATGTAAAAAGATGTATTATAGATGTAAAAATCTTAATGATTCCAAATTGAAAAGATGATACTTCATAACCAAGTAGGGACTATCACAGGATTGCCAGGATAACTGAATATTCATAAACCATTAATTTATCATATTAAAAACTAAACAGTGGAAATCACATAATAATCATAGCATATACCAAGATATGTTTAGCAATTTAACATCTATACCTATAATATTTCCAGTAAAATAAGAACAAAATTTTTTTTCTCAACATGTTAAGCAGCCTTGAAAGGGAAAAACCCATAGCTAAAACCACATTACTATGACACATACATATCAAGACAGAAAATACTGATCTCACTATTTCTACTCAGCATTATCCTGGATGGGATCACAAAGGTAAATAATCAAACCTGGCACAATGACTCAGATAAAGTTTCACTAAATTTGGCCTGTGATGGCCTGAAACCACAATCTTCCCAGTCTGTACTTCCCAAGTAGGTAGAGGGTTGCAGATATAAAAACTTATGCCTCGCTCCTATTTTTAACAGAAGCAAAATTTATATCATTATTAACACATACAGAGGTTGTGTTAAAAAGAAATAAATAGATTGCCAGGCACCAGTTGCTCAAGTCTGCAATCCTAGGAACCTGAGAGACTGACATCGTAGCTGCTGTTTGAAGCCAGCTGGAACAGGAAAGTCCATAAAACTCTTTATCTCCAATTAACTAGCAAAAAGCCAGAATTGAAGGTGTGGCTCAAATGAGAGTGTCAGACTTAAGCAAAAACACTAAGTAAGGGGCCCTGGGTTCAAACCCCAGTACCAGCACACATAAAAATTTTTAAAAATCTAGATAATAGTAACACAGTAAAACAATGTTGGTGTGATTAAGATATCTACATCCATCTGAATGATAAAAATGTTGATAGCAAA